AAAGATTCTTACAGGTACAAAATTTTATTATGGCAAGGAATAAGCGGAATGTAAAGGACATAATTATGAAAACTAAGAACTAAAACAAACAACCGGTTTCGTCCCAGTAATCCTCAAGTTTGATACACTGGGATTATTTAATCATAAACTTAAAAACAAAAAAAAAACATTCAATGAGGGGGAAAGGGGAGAAATTTTTTTTTTTATATATGATAGAAAGAACTAGAGCCCAATCACATTCAAGCCCAACAAGCAATCTCTCTGCTTACAGAGAAACGGCCTGCGGGACTTGATGTAAATGGACTCAAGAACCTTCAAATGATATGCAGAGTGTGACTTCGCCAGAATGGAAAAACAGTCAACACTCAAACCAGTAGTTGGCTTTCTTTTTTCTGGACAAAGGGTGTGTAAGAACTGTCCAAATGTTTTATATTTCCGAGCGCTTTCGGCTATACCTTTAGCCATTATGTAAAAACATCACTACCACACACTAATACATACACAGAACGCACACACTCAATTAAGCTGAAAATCGAATCATCCTTGATAATGGCTAAAGGTATAGCCGAAAGCGCACGGAAATATAAAACATTTGGACAGTTCTTACACACCCTTTGTCCAGAAAAGAAAGCTCTTGTCAGAACACAAGAAAAATTAAATAAAAAGCTCAACCGTAGTACCTTGTCTGTCGTTTTTAATGAAACATGCATATATATATATATATATATATATATATATATATATAGAGAGAGATAGAGAGAGAGAGAGAGAGAGAGAGAGAGAGAAATGTGCTTTCTGGTTTTTCTATAACTTACTGATCGCCTACCCTTCCGTCGTCTCACTTTTCTTATCTTCTTTCCTTCACCTTTTCCAAATCCTTACTCCTTGCCAATCGTTATGTAAGTTTCTCAGTCAGAAAGAGGTACCGGATAGATATAGCACACTGATCCAAGATAGAAAAGTATAACGGTTGCACATACAATCAAGCAAAATAATCGTATAACCGAAACAATATTTTCATTTGATAACGTAAATACTTTTTTCTTTTTTTATGTTTCCTTTTTAGCAGTCAAAATTGTCGCTCTACTCTTGAGATCTTTCAATTTTGTCTTTCCACACATTTATTTTATTCATTTTCTCACACTTTAATAATTTTAATCAATTGTAATTAAAAATTGGTCTCTGTCTCGTGTCTCTGAGTGTCATTGTTCTTCAAATTTTACGCGAAACAATATTCGGAAGAATAAAAATGAAAATGGCTGACAACAGCAGACGTCTTCTTTTTGAGAACTACGTTTTTCTGCTTTCTTTTTTTCTGATCAACTCAAATAGCAGATGTATCACTACGCCTGAAGCGACGAGTAAATATATCAGTGTATTCTTCCGCAATAAATGTCAGCCGAGATAGTTCAGCACTAAAGTCTTTTGTTGTATTCGTTCTCTTCATCTATCTCTGTTGTCGTTCGATTGTGTTTCCTTGCCTCTGTCTTCGGAGAACTGCTTGCCATTGAATCATAAGACGCCGTTCGTACGGTTCTGCCTTGTGTAAATCTGCACGGAAGGGTCGTTAAGTGCGTGGGCAAATCCACCCGGTAATAAATCTATAAAAAAAAAGGCTCCTAAACTAGCAACATTTGCATAAATGTCTATTCATTTTTGTTTTTTTGTGTCTTTTTTTTAATGGTCTCATGGTGAGAACGTGAACGTTACTTTGGCGATGATCTCTAGCTAATTTCCAACAAGTTCTTTCTTTGAGCTGAGGTACAGATTCATGTCCATTTCCTGCTACAAACATTTTCTGACACTCACTGACTGGTTCTTTGCCAAAGTAAGTACTCACATGAACGTGTATTCCCGAAAATAAGAGCTATCTTGCCTTAATCTACTCACTGCAAATCACATACTCTCGTACGCGGTTTCGGCGCCTTTCGATTAAATAAATCACTACATCTATCTATCTATCTATCTATCTATCTATCTATCTATCTATCTATCTCTCTCTCTCTCTCTCTCTCTCTCTCTATATATATATATATATATATATATATATATATATATATATATATAAACAGTATACATTTAATTAAAATTAAAAAACAGGAAAACTTAAGGGCCAGGAAAGTATTTTTTTCCTGCTTCCTCATATCACATTTCCAAGCATAAAAAATGGTTGAAGCATAAAAAATATCAGTATATATATGTGTGTGTGTGTGTGTGTGTGTGTGTTCTCTATTAGCAATCTCCGGCTCACCACCAAAGTCGATCACTGTCTATTGAGCTATTGTTGTTTGAACACTGCTCTACGGCTGTGAATGCTGTATCCTGTATCGCCGACAAATAAAACTGCTTGAAACATTCTACATTAGACACCTTCAGCAAGACCATCTTCGCCTTTTACGTTGTGCGGATTCCGGGCCATCGCCTCCCCAATAATTGTATTCTTCGGAGAGATCGAAACCGGCAGCCGCCTACGTGGAGGCCCAAAGAAACGATTTCGAGACTACCTTAAGCGTGCAATATTGACCTTACACAATTTGAGAACCTCGCAAGGGATCGGATCAGATCGGCTGGCGGTCTCTCTGCGTCGCCGGAGAGGTGGAGAGACGAGAAGCGCTCGAGGTGAGACGACGCCAGCGTCATCTGCAACCTGCCATTTTTCGCACCGGGCATGTTTTCTTGCAACCTGTGCCCGAGAACTTGTAGTCCGCGGATCGGGCTTCTCTCTCATTTGGCAGCCCACAGAAGACGGACGGAGATGGAAGGACAGCGTCGTCGTCAGCAATGACGGAGAGCCTAAGAGAGAGACTGATTGCAGAGGATGTGGGATGTAAATCAACAGCATCCAAGTCATCATCCGACAATGCCTTCTACGTTGGGTTGGACATATTGTGCGGATGCCGGGCCATCGCCTCCCCCCAAAATTATATTCTTCGGAGAGATCGAAACCGGCAGCCGCCCACGTGAAGGCCCAAAGAAACGATTCCAAGACTATCTTAAGCGTGCTCTTGTCGTCTGCAACATTGCCCGACACAATTAGAGAACATTGCAAGTGATCGAATATGCTGGCGCACTTCGAGAAAGAGAGTAGAATAGCGCTCCAGAGGAGGTGATGTGTGTATATATATATATATATATATATATATATATATATATATATATATATATATATATATATATATATATATATATATATATATATATATATATATATATATAAAATACGATCACAATCAGGAGTCCCGTAACTGCGTGCACTGCAGCTATGCCAGTAGTGGTGTGTCTTGTGCAAGAGACCCTAACTGTCCCCAACTCTCTGCAAGCTGGTTTGGATTTAGAGATTTCCTTCTCGTCGACTGGTTGTCAACCAAGGGTATAGGTTAGTTTGTTCTGTTATTTACCCATTGCAAGGGGGGGGGGAGATGGATTCATACCTTACCCAAATATGTAAGTGAATGCGATGAACTCGACTAGAATTCGAACTCGGCACTCCTATCCTCAGTCCGAGCCGCTATCCATTATTCCGGCTTGCGTCATATATAAATATATATGTATGCCCAAAAGAAAATCTACAAGGAAAATATAATAAAAACCTTAATGGCAGTCATTTGTTAGTCGTCTTCAATTAAATGTATATATATATATATATATATATATATATATATATAATTATTTATTTTAAAATATGATTCCAACGCTACGTAAGAGTTATCATGTTTCAAATCAAGAGCCGAAAACTTCAATATAATTATTTGAATTAAATTGAATTAAAGTACTAAGATCTGTTCCATCTTCAAGCCAAATTTTTTTTGGAATCCAAAATTTTGGAATTCCCAAAAAAATTTCGGAATTCCCCAAAATCCAATTATTTACCTCGTTATTTTTAAGGAAAACATTCAGCGTTTTAACTTTTTTTTTTTTGGTTTTTTTACTTAGCTTTCACCTTTACTTTTACGATGCTTTATGGAAAATATATTATAAAGAAATTAAAATAAGACTGTTAAGAGTGAGATTAAATTTCATAAGAAAGGTATCTAATTAATTTATAGGTACCTTTCTTATGAAATTTTATCAGAAGTGTACATAAAATACTGTAAAATTGTATGTACATTTACTACATTTTACTGTGTTATTTGTATTTCCATTCATTTTATTATTAATTTTCATATTTCATTTATGGAAAAAATGAGATTAATATAAAAATAAGATCGTATAAATTTCATAAGATGATACTAATATTGTAGGTACCCTTCTCAGTTGAAATTGAAAAATCAAATTAACTTCTCCACACGTATTTCGCAAAAGTAAAGGCCTTAACAGCAGAGAACAATGCTTAACTCAAATAACGCAACTTAATTGTATTCTGGTTGGTCCTCCATACTTTATAATTACAGCCCGATTATAAACAGAAAATTACATTTCTTAATTACTGCGGATCTTCTGATTAATCAAAACGATACAATTTACAACGAGCTAAAAAAGATCTATCTCATAAGGACACTTACGAAAGTGGATGCGGCTTTTAATTAATTTTATAATATTTTAACAACTTAAATGTAAAAATCTATTATAATTAAAGAAATAACAAATAATTGTATTAAAAATTCATTTTTCATCGAAAATCTTTTTGCTTTCAGAAAATATTGTCCATATTCATAAAAACAACTAAAATCAAATAAAAGCATTTGAAATTAAATAATATATTTGTTTAAGTGAGTTTTGTATGTTATAATTCAGCGCTGATTTTCAGGTAGGGGTGTCCAATTAAAAACAAAAAACATGATTTGCATTCCTCAAAGCCTTGTGCTTTTAACTATTGTAATTACTAAAGTGGACTCGATCGAATTTCTAGAGTTTTCATAAAATTAGTTATGGTGGGTAATAAATATATATAAAAAAATTCTCTCATGAATTTAATAAAAAAAGAATATTTATAATAATTTCGATCATCTGTGAATAGTTTCTGAAAGTTTCATTAACATCCAACAATTATTTTCATTTTT